TTGTACAGTTGTCTCCGATCACGTTGACCAAACATTGTATACAGTTGCCTTCGATCACGTAGACCAAACATTGTACAGTAGTGTCAGGTGATGTAGACTAAGCATTTTACAGAAGTATCAAACGACAAACATTGTATATTGTGTCAGATCATTTAAACCAAACATTGTACAATAATGCCCTATGATGTAGACTAAACATTGTACAGTAGTGTCAGGTGATGTAGACTAAGCATTGTACAGTTGTCTCCGATCACGTTGACCAAACACTGTATACAGTTGCCTTCGATCACGTAGACCAAACATTGTACAGTTGTGTCAGATCACGTAAACCAAACATTCTATACAATTACCTCCTCATGTAGACTAAACATTTTATATTTTGTGAAGTCATTTAGACCAAATATTTTACAGTTGTCTCATATAATGAAAATCAAAAATGATTTAGAGGCTTCCGTGTGAAGAGAACCAGTAGTTACCCCCTATAGCTCATGAAAACTGAATATTGTTTAGGAATGAACTAAACATGGAACATGGAATGAACTAAACATTGTGTAATTGCCCACAGATAGGGTTTCAAATATTTTATTAACTTCGAATCAGAAAATATAGAAGAATTATTCAGTTTTCATATAAACTACATAAACTAATATTTAGTTGTAAGTGTATAGTGTAAACCAAACATTGTTTAAGTGTCTGCAGGCTAAGTAAACCAACATTTGTTTGCGGTAGGTAGGAGTTGGTGGGGTTTTTCAGGTCAGGTAAGTCAAGCGTTACTTAAGTCCTTTTAAACCAGAGATTGATTAGGTACCTCCAAACTGGTAGATATGTAATCCATGTTTTAGGCAATTTCGCTTTAGGAAAACTAAACTTTGTTCGACCGTCTACAGATCAAGAAAACAAACATTTCTGTCGCCATCAGCTTAAGATGCCTCCGTATTGGGTAAAATAATTTAGGTCCTCTAGATTAGATAAACAAATTGTTATTTAGGTACCTTTAGTTCATGTGAAACTACTCTTTAAATCATGTAAGTTAATGCTATCGGACCCTTAAACGACATATAAAATAATGCTTAGATGCCTTTACATCACACAAACCAGATGCTATCAGTTGCCTATAATGTTTATGTAAACTTTACTTGCTTTAGATACTTTCAGATCAAGCAAATCAAATATTCTTAAATTCCCTTCAAATTGAAGATAAACCAAATTTTGTATATATATATATATGATTCAGATAAACCAAACATTGCTTATCTTTCTTGAGACTGGCTAAGCCAAACAACATTTATATTTCAATATAGATCAGGTCAACAAAATAATGTTGAAATACTTCCAGATAAGGTGTATCACACAATTCAAAGAGAAAATAGTTGTTTCCCGTTCAATTAAACCAATCCTGTTAGATGGCTTCACTTTAGCGAAACCAAACATCTTATTGTTTTATACAGAGGCAAACTAAAATATTCTTAAGTTTCTTTCGGATAATATAACTAAACATTGTTCAATGAGTCTCCTGATCAGATTTATAAGCACTGTATAAGGTGTCTTCAGATGGTATATTCCAAAGATGATTTAATTGTTTCAGATCAAGCAAACCAAATATTGATTAAGAGCTTTTACATCAAAGAAACCAAACATATTAAAGTTCTATCCAGATCAAGTGAACCAAATATTGTTTAAATGTTGCATATTAGGTAAGGAAATACGGACTAGTTATCTTCAAATTAGGTATCTGAACACTGTATCGGATGTCTGCATTTCAGATAAACCAGACGTTGCGCAGCATTTTCAAAAAAAGCTACACAAAAAAGCACTGCAGATAATAATAAGTAAAAACGTTTTATTTCAGCCAACATCTCGCCTTTACGGCTTCATCGGAGCTAATAGTACAAAAACTGTTTCACTTAAACCAAACGAGATCTATATACTCAAGATCTTCAGTCGAAGTTTTATTTCAGCCAACATCTCGCCTTTACGGCTTCATCGGAGCCAATAGTACAAAAACTGTTTCACTTAAACCAAACGAAATCTATATACTCAAGATCTTCAGTCGAAGTTTTATTTCAGCCAACATATCGCCTCTACGGCTTCATCGGAGCTAATAGTACAAAAACTGTTTCACTTAAACCAAACGAGATCTATATACTCAAGATCTTCAGTCGATGTTTTATTTCAGCCAACATCTCGCCTTTACGGCTTCATCGGAGCTAATAGTACAAAAACTGTTTCACTTAAACCAAACGAGATCTATGTACTCAAGATCTTCAGTCGAAGTTTACTGGTTATCTTTCAGAATATGTAAACACAACATTCTCTGTCTGTATTGCGATTATGTAAGTCTACGATTATATTGTTTCCTGCACATCAGGTAAAGCAAGCATTATATAGGTGTTTCGAAATCAGTTTGACAGGAAATTATTTATGTTTCTCAAGTTTAAACAAAGCAAAATCTGTTCGGGTTTATCCAAAACATCTATAGAGCAACATTTTTACACACTGCCGCCTAACATGTGAAAGTGATTGGCTTTATATGATATTTTTCACTGTATAATATTTTGAGTATAAAACTGCTTTTAGAAGAGATAGCCTATATGAAAAAATAAAATAAAATAAAGACGACAAAGAACGCATGGCCTGAAGGCTCAAGAACATAGTCACGAGTTGACATAGAACAACGTATGAAAAGTAAAACAAAAAATAATTAGTTGAGTAAAGCTAAAAAATAATGAAAAAAAGACAATAATTTAGAGTAATTACAACGCTAGAATACGGGTTTCGATACCCGTGATGGGCAGAGCACAGATAGCACATTGTATAGCTTTGTGCTTAATCACAAACAAATAAATAAATTGTTGAATTTTATTGTTTATTTGTCAGTTAAATAATTTGCTATAATTCTTTAGGTAGAATTTCTTGAAAACATTTAAAACAATTGATTCATTCTTATTCACAATTCGTTTTGAATGACAGAGAAATAAAATTCTTCGTTCCGATTTTGACGTGAATAAACACAAACTGACCCTTTTATGATTTAGTTGACATCACTTCTTGGGTAATAAAATAAACATTTTCCTTCCTCTGACAGATTTGAACGCTACAATAAACATTTTAGTGGAGTCCCAGTCTATAATGCAAATCCAGAAAAATAGAAATACCAGTCTTCCATAAAGTATAATGATTTTAACTTTGCAGCTTTAAAAGTATAGCTCCAACTGAGAAGTTTGCTATAGAAAGGGAACTAAACGACGTTTCTACTCTGATATGAAAAGAAATGAATCAATTCAAGTTCCAGGTAGAAAACTACAACGAAGTTTTTTTTAGTTACTTAACACAGTACATAAAATACAACCAGGTAGCGTTCTCTACAAATTCATATTATATAAAGTATACATCCATAAACATGTTTGGGAGTGGGACAAATTAATCGAAACATCTCAATTTCTTAACTCCGATTTTTGGGATATTTAAGAGGTGATTTAATATTTAGAGATATGTTAAATTTATCAACATACGAATTGATTTTGCAGAGAAAGGTTCTCAAACTGTCGAAATAAAAAAGTTTACTCAGATTTCCAAAAAGGCGTTATTGTAAGTGAACATCTAGCAGGGTTCTCAGTGTCACGAACACTTGAAACAAAGAATGTGTCCCGGAACAGTATCAAAAATGATGTCAGCATAGTCATCAAACAAATGTAACAGCGGTCAAAAAAGTAAGTTGAAGACAACCATCAAATGGTTGTGTTTCTACGTGGTAAAATCCCAAAGAAGCTTACAACCCTAAATGACTTGCGCCATCAGGTAAGCATAGTGAAGGCACTATGATGAAGTGGAAAATATTTGGAATACTTTAGGCCTAGAATCTTATTTAAAGCTAAAGTTACAACAAATAATTACCCAACGCTTATTGTAGACCAGGTTTACCCTATGATGAACATTTTATGGTCTGTTTCAGAAAGTTAATGCACAAAGTCACACTGCTGAAATGATTAAATATTGATTCAGAGAACACGACGAAAAGTTTGGTCACCTAATGTGGCTACCGTAAGAACCAGATTTAAATGTTAACGAGCCTCTATAGTTAGTTCTTGAAACCAATGTTCAAAACATATTTCCACAACCATAAATTATGAAAAGCTTTGATGAACGAATAGTAAAAATATCATTATCTGATGCATAACACCTTGTATCATCAATTTTACGTTGTTATTATCTGCTCTTGGATAACGAATTACTGTTAATAAATGAAGTGTATAAAATGCTAGTTGTTTTCACTATTTTCTCCAACACTTGTATATTCATGAATTAAGATTCAGCATAAATCGGGTTAAGTGTTAAAATATAAATTATATATTTTTTTCTGTTTGCTTACTAGTGATATTAAAATTTTAAAAAAGCTACACATTACCTCAATGATATTGCTCATACTGTAGAAATTTAATTTTTTTCCAAAGCGTCCATTTCTTTTAATTATTTTGAATATAATTACTTGCAAATCTTTATAGCTAATTATGGCTTTACTAAAGAAAACAAATAGTGAAAATAATGGAACAAAATTCTTGTTCATACATTATAACTCATTATATGACTTATTAATTTCTTATTTGTAAATAAGTTAACATACTTCAATAAAATACATACCTGAGGTATTTCAGCGCCACCCCAAAAGGATTCTAACTCTATTTGACTAACAACAAACACCTTTATTTCAACTGAAATAGAGATATAAATACAAAACGTATGAGTCCCAAAGGTGCTTTGTAAATATGAGTGAAATATTGTAGTTTATAATGCGTGTATTATATTGTACTTTATAGTTAAACCGAACATTTTGATTTCATACCTCTGAATGTGAGAAAAAGAACGCATTATATAGAATCACTTAAGTCTATTATTCGAAGTATAAAATTTAATCTGTTTAATAACAGGTGTCGCTACTTTAAGTGCATTAATGTATATATCTAAAAATATACTATATTTTTCCTTTGACACTATACGAAACTGAAACTGTGAATGCACAACGTTAATTCCCCCCAGGAGTTGAAAAGGAATCATCTTGGAGATGTAGTACTGTAATTGTCGCTAGAGGTCGCTCGTGGCGATACACAAGGTGAGCTGCAGATAGCTAGCAAGAAAAGTGATCTCTTATAATTTACAGACGATAAGCGAAGACAGAGAGGAAAGTTGTTTACCAGCACGATTAATTATTATTTAGGAGACAGAGAGGCACGTCGTTGTTTTCAGACGACCGGAAACTGGACAAATTAGCTCAGGCAAGTACCCACATCGTAAATATTAGTCTGACATCTAAACTATCTATACTCTTAAAAAAATTAACAGAAAAAGTTGTTAGCTCTCTCAGTTACATCTGTTTAGGATAAATTAACCTTGACCTATTAAATATCAGTTGTCTTTATTATTTATTCCACAAACAGATTCTCTTTGTTACGTTGTTACAAAATCAATAAGTCGTATTTTAGCTAGATAAGGAAGATTAAATAGAAGTTTTTCGGAAGAAGTTGAAAGTAAAATATGTTCATATTTCCAAGCAGATTTGATTCGTGAAGATACTTGAGCATGACAAGTAAAAGCCGCTTAGGATTCCTGAAACTTGGGCTCTCTAGCTTCAGAATCCGAGATTCTTACTGTAACATAGTTGTCCTAGGAGCCGAAGAAGTTGGGAAAACTGGTAAGCCATGTTGTTCATTTGTTTCCTTCATGGACGTGAGGGGTTAATATACATTAGTATGCTAAGATACGTTTGGCATATTCTTATTCACTAAACATATGTTTTTTTGCTTATTGATAACTTAAGCATATAATAGGTTATATAAGTGCGCCGATTAATCATAATTATTTTATGAGAATTCAAAATATTTCTTAAACCGTTCTGATTGTCGGGTTTCATGTGTTGTAATTTGTTCTTTTTTTAGGCCGTGTTTCTTTAGTATCATAGATATTCCTCAAATTATTATATTTGATATACTTGCTTATTGCATTAGTTTAAGTACTGTTAGAAAAGCATCCTCTTGGGTGAAAAGATTTTTGTGTATTTATTGTGATGTAATTTGACGTGTTCTTAATTTATTCCTTACATAATCTACAAACGACAAATCTTTTAATACTGGATGAGGTGTTTAAACTGGATTATCTTGCAGTACAATATGATAGGCTTGGGCAACCTCTAAAGTTTCTAAAGGTCTTCCTTAAGTAAAACGTTTTCGTTGATTTCAAAGTATTTTTTCTTATTACGCCTGAACTTCCTGTATAAACATTATCTGTTCTCTAACATGTTTAGTCAAGTTACTGCTAAGTGTACTAAAAACCTGTAATCTTCATTCTTTTCCCTATATAAATATGAAGAAAAATATTTATAGCATATGACACAATAAATGTTATTTATAATTAACTAAAAACAATATCTTGTCTCTTTCTGTCATCTAAAAACTGTTTAATATAGCTTAAAAGAGGGATTTGATAGACGTATTAATCTATTAAATAATATTAAAATTAGCGATGTGATTACCTAACTATTAAAATTAACAATATGATTTCCTAATCACTAAAATTAACGATATGATTATCTAACCATTAAAATCAGCAATGTAGTTACTTATCCCTAACCATTAGGATTAGTGGTGTTCTTAGTATTTCTAGTATCTTTATTCTCGTTAGTGAACAAAAGAAGAAGTTTTGAAAGTATCTAATTTCCTGTTATTTTTATTCTCTGTTCTATAGTGTTATTAAAATAAGCCATACATAAAGCTATAATTCTGGTTTAAAAGGGCCGTGTAGATAGTTAAAAACCACAATAAACGGAACAAACTGTCAGAAGTCTGTTATTAGAGAAACTAGTTTCGACACATTCGTGAGACTAAAGAGGACGCACGATTGTGTCGAAACTAGTTTCCCTAATATCAGACTTCTGACAGTTTGTTCCGTTTACTGTGGTTTTTCACTAATTGTGTTCTTTTATTATTATTGCCGTGTAGATATTTCACTGGTAAGATATAACAGGAATGGTCACTGTCTTAATAATCCCAAACTTCCGAAATGCTTTTTTTAAATATTAACATTTAGATTAACGTTAGGGAAAGTCCTACTAAATCACTTCTGTTTTTATAAAATGTTGTCATTTGTTAGAAGCCATTTTGTTTTAGATAGTGCTAATCAGTACGTGTTATATAAAGGCCGAATCGCCAATATTTCAGTTGGAAAAAACGCTTGTGAATTCGAGTTGAAATGGCCGCTGACACACCTGAATGACTGACATAAAAAATTAGATAAGGAATTGTTATATATCAGAAGATCGTGTAACTGAAAGAACGTAAAGTTGAAGACACATTTCAGGAAGCGATGCTGCCAGTCTAATTACATTAGAACTGTGTCCCTGACTGTTCTACTGACAATGCTAGAACCTCTCAAAGAAACTTTACAACATACTCCAGTAAATTTACTTTGAGTAAACATAAATGTGCAATATTGTGGTTTTAAAGGTCGTGCTAGAAGGAAAGTAACATATAAATGAATTTGTATTTTTACGTTTAGTGTTGTCAAACATTAAAGGATGCACGTTATGTTCCATGATGGTCATGCAATGTAAAACGTGCTTACAGTAGAATAGGAAAGTACAAGTTGTGTATAACTTTATCTAAAATGACATATTTTAGTACAAACTGTAGAATCTCAACAAAAACTTGAGACATCTAAGTAAAATACAAAGAGTATACGTCCTAAATCGTAGTTTGGATATTTTGAAACAATGTTATTTAGGAAAGAGTTTATCCCGAAGAAAGAGAATGGGAATTTTAGTACAAAGTCTAAATTATTTATACCCCCTCAGCGGTAAGTCAAAAGGCTTATAAAACTAAACATCCATGGTGGGCAGAGCGCATTGTGTAACTTTGTGATTAATAACAAACAAACAAATTACGTTCAACATGTTGTTCAAGGTAATATTAGTATATACAGTCGTAAAGTCAGAAGTGTGGACTGAAACAATATTTTTCTTTGTATTTTAAGTTTCTAGACTATGTTTGTTTGTTTGTTTGT